ATCTTTTCTAGTACCTTACATCGCACGCTAGTTGGACTAACAGGTCGATAGTTTTTTACATCTGTCTTCTTACCACCCTTGTGTATGGCTACTACAGGTGCTGTTTTCCAGTCTGACGGTAATCTCCCCTCAGCTAGTGATGTCCTAAAACAGTCATGTCGGGTAAACGGGAATTGCGGCTGATGTCAATTTGATCCAGTTTCTCGCACCGTGAGCGTAACGTTCGCCTACGTATGCTTCGACAACAGATAATCCTTTACGAGCCGCTTTGTGGCCCCTGGCAGCCGACTTGTGCAAACTTCCCGGATCAGGTGCTACTCTCGCAGCTGGTATAGTGTAACGCAGGTAAGTAGTACCTGTAGAAAAAGAGAAAATAGGGAGTGCCTGTAGTCTAGGCATACACCTAGCAGAGTGGTTAGTGGATGGGGCAATCACAACCCCTGGATAGTTAATCTGATACCGAAAATCTCATGGCCTACCGTCCGAGGTGCCCACGTACTCTTCGATTCAACTGTGACTCCGCTTCCTCTGCGATCATCTTTCAACCACACACACACGCTCATTTGAGAAACTCAGACATCTTTCTGTTCACCCACAAGCTTAACCCTCATGGCATCCAGATTGCCGACGCCCGGGTCATGTGTTGGCGGTAGTTCGTCCGGAACTTATCTGGCTATCAAGCCCTCTGGGTCTGTCAGCAGGATGGTAGCATCGCTGACCCTGTCAGGTTCCAAGCGCAGGACGCATTTGCTGCAGTTCAACCAGGGCTCAGCCGAACTCCGTTCGGGAGGATGGTGGTGGTTGGGATGTTGCCCCTCAGTTCCCCCGATTTTCAGACGGAGGTGCAAACCGTTATTGGTCGACCCCGAATGTGCATTTTATTCCATTTGAAACTCCACCCACGGCTAGATCTGCATTATCAATAATAATATTAATAATAATAAGGTATATATCACGAAGCCCGTGAAGCATGCACAAGGTATGATCATATGTTCAAAATAATCACATGTACAACGACAGTACAGGTAAATAGATAAAATATTTGGAAGACGTACATACTGGAGATGGTAGGGGAGCAGAACGAAAACACTGTGTAAACGAAACACAAAGCGGACGAGGTCACAAACGTTGGTGTGGAGGATGGAAGAATGTGCTGTATAAGCATATCAATCGAAAATGAAGTAGCTGTTACCCCGTTACCGTGGGGAAACAGAGTGCGGCTCTAATGGGAGAAGATACAGAGAGAATAAAATGTCGGACAAAAGACGGGGAAAATGGAGTCACAGGGATATGAAAAAATAGGGGGGAGTACAGCGAGTTCATACGTTTGCCGGGATGCG